AAATCACCGATCGATGCCGTAACAAACAGCTTTGAAATCGAAATCACCGATCGATGCCGTAACAAACAGCTTTGAAATCGGAATCATCGATCGATGCCGTAATAAACAACAGCTTCGAAATCGGAATCATCGATCGATGCCGTTTCAAACAGCTTCGAAATCGGAATTATCGATCGATGCCGTAACAAACAGCTTCGAAATCGGAATCATCAATCGATGCAGTAACAAACAGCTTCTAAATCAAAATCACCAATTGATGCGGTAACAAACAGCTTTGAAATCGAAATCATTGATCGGTGCCGTATCAAACAGGTTTGAAATAAAAAGTAATCGATCGATGCCGTAAGAAACAGCTTTGAAATCGAAATCATAAAAGACAGAACACACGAGAAGAACCTAAACTCCGTTGCAGATAAGGATCTACCACCAGGGAGTGAAAATTATGAAGAGCCATGGGTGGATGAGTATGAAGGTTGGGGCTTTGAGCGTATATATATACAAGAGAATGTCGGTTTGGGCATGGCGCGTAAAGTTAACGCTGATTAAGGCGGTTTGGTTTGGTCAATTTTGATTGCGCCTTTCCTGGCAACCAATAAAGTGTTTACACATGTCACCTAATAGTTATCCAAATCTTTTTATTTATTTTTCAATCACAATTTTATTTAAAATCTCTCAAAAGAAATCGAAATTAAAAGTGGTTTGTTTACTTCTTAATAGTTTCAGAAAACCAATCAAACCAAGAAAGATAGGTAGATCGAGCGTGCTGAAGGAAATTAAAGAGATCCGGAAACATGGACTAAACGGCCACTGCCTGAAGGGACTATGTCTATGGGACCGTCGTCCCCCTAAGAGACAGTTTCTTAATTGTTAAGAAATAAATCTTATTTGGCAAAAAAAAATTACCTGTTAATGATTCTAAAACCCTATGAATGATTTTGTATGAAGGGTCTCCCTTAATCATTCAAAGCGCCCTAATTTCTTTGAATTTTAAAAATTATGTTTTTTTACACAAAACCAATCAAATATTTAAGGACGACTCAAGCATCTTCTTGTATGTGAGTCGGTCAAGATTTGAGTTTTATTCGACGTTATGTAATTGATGCGATTGTAATATTGAATCAATTAATTATTGCTTTTGTTGGATGTAGGTTAATCTTAATGTTTGAGATCAAATATTTCGTTGTTGGAATATGATGGATATCAACTAATAATCCATTGATGAGTTCACCGTATTAGAAGAAGGAGTTGTTTATTAAACACTTACTTTGAAAAGGGCTTGCTGGCTTAATTGCTTTACTGGGTGAACATAACAAGGATAAAAAATCTTACATGGTAAGAAGGAAGAGAATGATTGAGAGTCTTACCCGATAAGTGAATGTGATAACTTTTATCCAGTAAATGTTTACCGAGTTATAAACGCTTACCATTAATCCAATTTGATGGCCGTGAATGATACCTCTTAAAGTAAACGAGAGTGGTGACTCTTATCAATAAGCACTTACCTGGTAAGCGTGTGATAAACAACTCCGAAAACAACCTTTTTTGTGTTATTGAGGGGAAAGGGAATGAAGAAAAACAAATTTTCATGTTCTTGAGAAGGAAGAAAATAGAAGAAAATATGCCGCTTTTACAAAAATATCTTTATTTATTTTATAATAAATTGTAATTGATCATTAGATATGTAGTTTTATAAATATTTATAATTATTATTTCTTTCATTTCGTTCTCTTTCTTTTCATATTTAAAAAGAAAGTTTTGGGATCTGTGATTAAAAAAAATCGAGAACATGATCTCTTTCCCCTTACTTTCTTACTTTTTCCTTTTCCCTTATTTTTTTTTTAGTAAAAATGCACTACTAATTGAATAACACACCAGACCATTAGGCCTTGGCCTAGTGACCACCTTCTTCCGTAAATGTCTTGTCTTGGGCGTGCCCACCCGGGTTCGATTCCAGGGGAGGACAGGTTGTCTTTTCCGATGCTTGCTTATGAGGTATGGTAAGTAGGGTTAACAAAATGTGGACCGCCCCGATAGATGTTTAATAACAAATTTATTGCTAACTCGGAATTAAAAAGGACAAAAATAAACGTAGACAAAAATGACAAACATTTTCATAAAATGGAAGATGATAAAATGGAATTTTATGTTAATTTAAAAATAATTAGGTGGCTCTGAAGTCTTATTTCAATTATGATTCATAAAAGATGGTGTTGAAGTTTGAAATCTGAATTAATAAGACTATTTCTTTTTGTAAATTGATATACGTCTGAATTTGTTTAAAACATCTATTTTACCTATTAAAAAATTATAGTGTTAAATTTATAGATAATTTTATACAATTTCACATATTTATTTATCATCATTACGAAATTTACATCTAAATCATATAATTAGCATTTATTTAAAAAGAAAATATGTCATGAACGGTATTTAACACATTTAAATCATATTAAATACATCAATTGAGATATGAGAATTGATTTGGTAAGGATCGATTAAGATTAATCGATTGACGAACACCGTTGTTGAGGGTTTGAATAACAATAAGAGGCAGATATGAGGTTGGTTTATCTCTTACCAGATAAGAGAACAATAAAACATAAGTGTCTCAGAAAAATTGAAAAAAAACAAACAGTCTAAATAACTCTACCTCTTAACGAATCAAATATAAGAAGCATATAAGACTTTTTTATAATAAAAGAAAAACAAACATGACCTTAAAGTTCATAGTGATATAGATAAAAAAAACAATAATTTTACATGGTTTGTACCAAGTCGGGATAAAGGAGGATTTCAATAAAGTATGCAACTGTTTTTAGGGTGCGTTTGGTGTCCAAACATAATGGAGCAGAACAGGACAAGACATAACAGTTGTTCAGCCTTTGTTAAGACATGACTAAACAGGACAAAAAAGAACAAGTAAAATGATCAATTTACCGCTAATGAGTTGTTTATATATTTTGATTAATTCATTAAATTATAATAAGATAATTATTTTTTATAACAAAATATATCATTAAAAAGTTTTTGTCAAAATAATTAAAATGACACCACAATAAAAAGTCTATATTGTTTCCAATTTTTATTTTTATCCTTTTTCTACATTATTTTTTTTATTATTAATATGTAATAAATTACATAAATTAATAAAGATATAGAAACAGTATAAAAATAATATTTTGAGAATAAATGAAAATTTAAAAAGCATAAAATACAATAAATAAAATTTAAAGATTGAATAAAATGTAAAAATGAGACATATTTGATGTTTTAGAAGAGAATTAAGTTTTATTTTGAGATTATATTGGTAAAATATAAGTTTGTTCCATTTTGTTTCATCATATTCCATAGGGTAGGGGTGGAACGTGTCTATTTCACTCTGTTCATATCTGTTCCACATAAAAGTTATGCCAAATGTGGAACAGGGATTTTTGTTCTGTTCTATCTTATCATGTCCAGTGTATCAAACGCATCAAGGTGAAATTGGTACCAATGACATGACACTACAAAAACTTGTTTTTCTATATTTGGCTTGACATTAGACTAAGATAAGATAAAATCTGAGTGGACAAAAACGCATTTTTTGTGTCCCATCAAAATAGGTGGAACAAAAATTAGAAAGATAATACAAGATTAATAAATTACTAAACTACTCGTATAATAAAAGCCTCTAAAACATTCCATAATTATTTCACTCGGAGGCGGACCCACATGATACGGTGGCAAGGTTCACCACTTTATTGTTGCATATAAGGGCAGAAAATTACGTTTCTGAAGGGTGCCGTATTGGTTTGTTGGGTGTCACCATATAGTTTTATAAACTGAAATATTAACATAACACTTTATTGGCTAAGATGGTAATGCTTCAACCTTTGTACAAAAGACTCAGTTTCGAGTCCCCCAATTGTCAGATTTGTTGTTTTTTAACTTAAATTTTGGTTTTTTATATATCTTTTGTGTTTTTAAAAATACATGTAGACAGGAATCGAACATGGGTATGTTCTATGTAGGAACAAGAAACCAACCAACAAATCTATACTAATATTGTTAAAAAAATATCGATATTTTTTTATACTCAAATTATGCTACCACTTGGAAAATTTATGAGTCCGCCATCGCTTTTACCTCTTACCTAAGGAACCCGTCAAGACCGATCAACATACCAATCAAACCCTTCGAAAACTCAAAAAAAAAACACACTAAAGAGGTGCAAATTTGAATGTCATCAAGTAATGCATCCCTAGTATTTTACTGGTACTAGATAACATATAAACATAATATCCGAACTCTTGAGTGAGAACCACTTGAATTGGATCTAAAATTAACGGGTGAGTGTGAGCTTATCCATACAGTTATGCACTCTTTGAACAGGAATCCATTTTCTGGAGGTGCAACTCGACAAGTATTCAACAATTTTCACAAAATGAACACGAAAAGACACCTCATTCAAGAACAACAAACATAATTTGAATGAACAACATTGAGTGTCATTTTCAAATTGAACAAAATTTTCAAACTAACTTGTGTCAGTGTTTTGAGTTTTGAACAATTTACATTTGAATCCCAACGTATATAGATCTGCTACAAGTCATATTCTATCTCTTGCTCGGATACAAACTACATATCAACTACAAGATTGCCATTCGCACCTCTATATCATAACTTTGCTCCTGAAACAACCACACGATTTTCATTACATGTTTAACCAATATCAATAACCATAAAGCTATTTCGCAGATGTGTGGAAGCAAATGAAATTTTTTGTAGTTGTTTAGTTTGGGTTTTATGAATGACCCTAAATGAGTTTTCAATTAAGAGCATGATTTTTAAAAGAAATTATTTCAATAACCTTCACCTAACCTACTCCTGGTTCAAAACAGTTTTCTCCCGTAAAAACCTAGAAATACACTAAAGGGAAGAATCCTTAAATTCAATTTCTGATAAGGTCATTCAGCTAAATAGCCCCGTAAGCGAGACATGGTGGCTCGTCAATAAGCTTGGTGAGCCCAAGCCTAGCTTAGGGAGTTCTAATATCCAAGTCAAGATCAAGCTTGGTACGTGGCCTCAACTAAATGGCTTGCCGAGCCTGAATTAATAGACACTATACAATGCTTCCAAGCCATATAATTTTTTATCTAGCAAGAACCATTCGGGACATTTATATAATTCTTCTAAAAGACAATTAATTTGTAAGTTAATATATAGGATTTGATTTTAATTTTACGAGAACCCATACTAACTAAGCTTGTTTGAGTGGAGCAAGCTGGGGCAACGCTTGGCTCAAATATGAACCTACCATCTGTGAATAAAAATGAGATGCATACCTAGCATGCCAATTTCTGGAAGATTGTATTTCCAAAAGTACAATTCATCGTACATTCGAGTCCATTTGGCCAGAAAATTACTTCATATGGTGTTAAATAAACACGACAATGTCTTTGAGCATACCTCTCTTATGGATCTAGTTTGGAACTTACGGATATTAATATGTTGATGCCTAGACAACGATGAAATAACAACAATGACTTCGATCAAAGAGATGTGTGTGCAAGTGTTAACCAAGATATATTGGGTGCATGAGAGGAATAGGGATGAGCTCTGTGTGATGATGAAGATAGTTGAACTGAGGGTTATTAAGGATTCGAAGTCTTTTGCAGTATTCTTTCTTTCTATTTGGTATTTGCAAATCAAAAAACACGTAATCTGGTGGTGACTTTGCATTGCAACCCTTCTTAATCATGTCTACCAGAAGGAGCTTAGCTGCGTAAGAACTGAAGTATATCACCTTGCAACGATAACAAAATCAGCCAAGGAAATGTCAAAGTGGAAACATCTCTGCATTTTGCAGTCTAAATTAGAAAATCTATGTCGTCTATGGAAGTTTGCAATGACCTAAAATATAACTGTTGTTTCCAGAAAAAAGATGAGAACTATTTAATGCCTAAACTGAATGGAAGAAGAAGACTCCACACTAAACCGCTATCTGTCCAGCAAACTTGACCAAAACCCAAGATAATGTTTAGAATCTTGGATGGTTTTGGATCTCGTAATTATTGCACTTTCCAAATACTATATTTTGACCTCTTTATGCCTTAGGTATCAAGAAATCAGTATTGAGATAGTCGAAGAATTCACCACTAGTTTTAAGGCATAAACTCGAGTTTTATATGCAGTAGAAGCTCTGAGGCGGAACCTGAAGCTTCTGAGTTATACTTGGTCTCAAAATTACCAAGTTCCTCAACCAACTCAAGAAGGATTCCAACCTTCTGAACTTCATCCAGAACGTCCAGGAAGGCGCTGCCCATAGGACCCCGCAAGGGGATGCAGCCCCCTTGACCTTGCCTTATGGCAATCTAAGGTGATAGAGGCAACATTTGTGAGTGTTTACTCTGCACCTACCAACTCTCGTTATGTTTGCCTTGTCACCTAGTCGATCCAAAGTAAGTTACAATTACACCAAAATGATCTATGACACCAACAGATAATTCATTATTTGTTGCCTTGTCACAAGCATGATTTCCCTTAGCTACCGAGTTCTTTAAGCATTAGCTCAAGTGCAATTTAATTAACAATAGTAACTTCCGAAGTCCAAATTCCAAGCCATTGATTTCGACCCAGAGCAAGGCTGCTTAAATTCTGAACTCAAGTCTACATTACATGAGCTCCAATTTCAGTACCCCAACACTTATCAAATGACAAGTGAAATCTAAGAAGTCTAGTGCAACATCGATAACTTGACCAGCAGAATTATGTTTCCAGGCTTCTAGAATTCACTGAACAGTCTGTTATAATTCTCCATGGTCATAACTCATATCGACTTTCAGTTTAATAAATTAAGAAGTCGACTACTCTAAAAAAATGCATCTCACTTTCAAAATTCAGGCAGTAATGACCAAATAAAACAATGTAATCAAACAGATAACCGAAGGAAAACGAAAGGAAGAGCACACCTACGTGTGTTTAGCGAAGGAGGAAGAAGAAGGAACACGTTTGTTACGAAACATCATATATCCGACGGGTAAAACAACTCCGATCATCATGATTAATGCTCCGATCATGTACCTCCCTGGACTAGGCGGTTCCACCTCCAACAACACCTTAATCTGCACGAAAATTCCAATTATATGTCATTTACATAATAAAATCAATAGAATAATCAGAAGCAGCATTAGCAATACGATCAGAAATTTTTAAATTGAAGTAAAAAACTGTGCTCGAGTGCGTTCGTTATGAACTGAAACCCTAGATCTAGTGAGAGAGACAGAAGACTTACAGGCATAGCTGGTGCTGTACGAAACTGTAATTGGGCAAAAGAGGGGAGAATCAGTTAGATGGCAGAGAAACCGTCGAATAATTGGAGGACGATCTCCATTTCAGCCCCTAAACTATTCTTCAATTTTACCTTTTACACCTTGATTTTTAATTTCTTTACATTTTTAGTCCCTTTCTTTCTTAACGTAGGAAAAGAGGTGGAAAGTAAAAACAATTGTATTCTTGAACTGTTTAGGAGATAAAACGGGGATAAGTTTTATCTTAAAAACTTTTCTTCCAAATGTGGGAATAAAAGAAAAAAACAACCCTTAAAAAATCAGTATATTGCGTGTTAATTACAGAGAGTTTTGGATTCAAAAAATTGGTCGAGCGGTTGCACCTTTAAGGTGGATGAAACACCTGTAAAGTTGTAAAATATGTTTTGTAGGGATGTTCATCGGTTGAGATCCAATGAATTTAGGTGGATCCGATCCGATCCAATCATCCATTAAATGTTGAATTTTGTTATCCGATCCAATCCAAATCCAGTAGATGATTGGATCGGATCGGTCTCATCTATTGGATGTTACTATTGGTTATCCAAATCCAGTAGATGATTGGATCGGATCGGTCTCATCCAGTAGATGTTGAATTTTGTTATCTAAGAACATAAAAATGGAATTTGTTTTAATTCTTAATTTGTGTAACATTTGATTCCTTTTCTTAACTGGTAAAGTAAACTTTTAAATCTTTTTATTTTGATACCGGATTACCAAATAATTAAGTAAAAGCTTACGTGACATTTTTTCATTGTGCTGCCAATTGTCTTTTTTACAATCACGTGCAATTATAAATCAGTATTATTTGACGACATATAATTTTAATTTAATTTAATATTTATTGATAAAAAATAAAAATTGCAAATAGGTAATAGGGGAAGATATTTTGATTCAACATTTCCAAATTGCAAGCATGAATTTTTTGCAATGCATAAAATAAGAAAAAACAGTACAAGTTCAAGATTACATATGTTAAAAGGGTATATAATTTTTTTTACAAAATCTTATATTTACCCTATCTCCATAATTCTTGAAATGGTCCCTGAACAATTAGGACATTGCACCCTCACCCCTTAAACAAAAAGACATGAAATATAACCCGAAAACAAAGTCAATCGAGAATAAAATTCTTAAGCATAATCTTCGGATGCTGGAAGAGCTTCATATGATCCAATGAAAACATCACCGTAGATTAAACCAGCCAACCCACCACCGATAAGTGGGCCAACCCAGTAAATCCAGTTTTGCGAGAAGTCTCCGCTGACCACAGCAGGGCCGAATGATCGAGCTGGGTTCATCGAGCCACCACTGAAAGGTCCAGCAGCCAAAATGTTGGCTCCAACAATGAAGCCAATTGCGATGGGTGCAATTGTTCCAAGTGATCCCTTTTTAGGGTCGGCAGCGGTGGCATAAACTGTGTAGACTAGAGCAAAGGTTATGATGATCTCCATCACAACTCCTTGAAGACCATTCATGCCATCTGCAACTCCGTGTGTTGGGACAGCCTGTCGTATGTCAAGTAAGTAAGAAAACGTCTAATATACCGAATCAAGAGTTATTAAATTGTTTTTAATAAATGATAAATAAGATATGTGTGATCTTATATACTTTAACTGTTTTACATGCGATGACATAATAAAACTTACCAAGCCACCGGTAACAAACTGGAGGAGGAAACATGCAACAATAGAACCAAGCAATTGGGCAATCCAGTAAAACAAGCCAGTTATGATAGTGATGTTACCACCAATAGCCAATCCAAAGGTGACAGCTGGGTTCAAATGACCACCAGAGATGTTGGCTGCCATAGAGACCCCGACAAATAGTGCAAACGCATGAGCAATTGCAATTGCAACTAGCCCAGCTGGGTCCAAAGCTGCATCTTTCGTGAGCTTGCCTGCAAATTTAACAAAACCAACACGTATAATAAGTTTGTGTATTGAATCGTGTGGGTATATGAATATGCCAAAGTCGATTTACAACCACTGAGACTATAATTCCACCGAGCGGGTATATGGACACGCCAAACTCGATTCAGAACAACTATCTCGGGTCCGTTTAACTGTTTATTAGAATGTTTTATGTAACGTACGAGCTTTCAAGTTACAAGTAAACTATCTATTAGATAAAACCGACATACCATAAGCAATAGCCGACCCAACGCCTGCAAACACGAAAAGAAGCGTTGCAATAAACTCGGCCAAATAAGACTTGATTGAACCAACACTCAAAGAGTCACCAATGCTACCAATTGCCAACTTCACCATTTTTCTTTTGAAAGCTTTCAAAATAGAAAGAAATCACTATGAGCAGAAAAAATGAGATGGTTGACTTTTCAAAGTTGTGAGTTGTGAAGGTTTCAACAAAGGGTTATATAGTGCATGATTCGAGATTTAAAATTAATTTTTATTATTTTATTAATTTTTATTTTTTGTAGAAAAGGACTTTTTAATATGTGGCTATGGGGGCCCTATGCATAGAGAATTTGTGCTGGCACCGACCTTGGGGCCCAAGATGGCTGATTTCTGACCGTTGATTGGTGCCGACCCACCGGCCTTGATTTCAAATATGTATTTATGTTAGGGAAAAGTACAATAAAAACCAATGAACTTTCTTGTTTGGAATGATTAAGTCCTTGAACTTTTTTTGGAACAAATAAGTCCTTGGACTTTCCAAAACATGTTAAATAAGTCCTTGAACATTCCAAAATATGTTAAATAAGTTCTTGGACAATTTTTGGAACAAATAAGTCCTTGGACATTTCAAAAAATGTTAAATAAGTTCTTGGACAATTTTTGGAACAAATAAGTCCTTGGACATTCCAAAAAATGTTAAATAAGTCCTTGCACAATTTTTGGAACAAATAAGTCCTTGAACAATCCAAAACATGTTAAATAACTTTTTGAAAAAAAATAAAGTGGAAAAATAGTGAAAAAGATCCCGAAAAAAACTCAATGAACATTCATATTTTGAACGATTAAGCCCATAAATATTTTTTGAACCAAAAAGTATTTAGATCTATAAAATTAAACAAATATAACAAAAAAATACTTACATTTACAAAAAAATAATTACCATTTTAACTAGTTGTACAAGTCATAAGAATGTATCCAACATGTTTTATAAAAGTTCAAGAAGTTATTTAACATGTTTTGGATTGTTCAAGGACTTATTTGTTCCAAAAATTGTCCAATGACTTATTTAACATTTTTTGGAATGTCTAAGGACTTATTTAACATATTTTAGAATGTCCAAGGACTTATTTGTGCCAAAAAATTGTCCAATGACTTATTTAACATGTTTTGGAAAGTTCAAGGACTTATTTGTTCCAAAATAAAGTTCAAGGACTTAATCATTCCAAACAAGAAAGTTCATTGGTTTTTATTGTACTTTTCCCTTTATGCTACGATCAAAATCATTTAGTTTTCCACGTAATTATTATTATAAATTTTAAGATAAATTTATGTAAAAAAAACTAATATATTTTAAAATTTTCATCTTAATATTAAGATGTAAAATTTTAAATATTTAAATATCAAGATAACCAGTTGAAGTATTAATCAGTCATCATACTGATGTGATATCTAACTCTTATTTGCTGACGTGATTAGTGATATGAATTTTTTTAATCTAAAATTAGTATTCAACCGATTACTCATGTACTTAAATGTTTAAACTTTATATCTTAAATATCAAAATAGAAGTTTTAAAAGTACGTTATCAAAATAAAATTATTGTTTCATACAATTACCTTGAATTTTAAAAATTAAAACTAACATAAAACAAGTTTATTAATGGGGAGTGCTAATGGCACCCCCTTTCATGTCAGAATCAGGTCATTTCAAGCATTGAGGATATAAAAAGCATGTGTTGATGTTGATGTGTATGAAGAAGAAATTCATGATAGGGATGCATTAAGCAATGCATAGGGGTGCATTTAGCCCACCCTTTATTAATATAATAAATGGCAATCATGATGCACTATCTATTTAAAAATGGAACATGTAATCATTATTAGTTGTCATGTTCCTAGCATTTTAAAGGGTTGCATATAATAACTTACTCCTATTTTGGATAACAAACTTTTAAATTTTTTATTTTGGTATCTAAAATATTAAGTTTTAAACATTTAAGTATCAAGATAACCAGTTGAATAATTAATCGGTTATCATGTTGATGTAGCGAGTGATTCCAAAGGTAAAAAAATAAAAGAAAAAAGTTAGATTGCGTACATATCGACTAATTCAAAAGATCCTGACAAATAATCAGGAAAATTATCAGTTGGCTTACGAGACTTGAACTGATGATCTTTGAAGATAATCCGTAAACGCAAACGCACACACGTCTTTGTGTTCTATAGTTTTTGCATTATCATATTGTATTATTTACAATATCTTTACTTAATTTTAATTGAATTGTATTATATAAAAATAAGGGCAAATTGCATGAAAAAGTAACGTACTTTAACTTAATTCCTATTTTGGGTAACGTACTTTCAAAACTTTCATTTTGGTACCTAAKATGTAAAGTTTTAAACATTTAAGTACCCGGGTAACCCAGTGAAGACTAATTTTAGACTAAAAAAAAGACTAATTTTAGATTTAAAAAAATCCACGTCACTGACCAGGTCAGCAAATAATACCGAGTTGGATACCACATCACTCGCCACATCAACATGATAATCGGTTAATACTTCAACCAATTACCCGAGTATTTAAATCTTTAAAACTTTACATCTTAGGTACCAAAATAAAAGTTTTAAAAGTACGTTACCCAAAATAAGAATTAAGTTAAAGTACGTTACTTTTTCATGCAATTTGCCTTAAAAATAATTATTAATAATTAGAACAATAAAAAAATTCTCAAATAACATGTTCATTTTGTCGTTGTTTTGAAAACTAATCTAATCTTAAAGTTGTTTATTATAATAAATATGCATCACGATGCATTTTCTAAATTAATAAATAGAAATGGAGCAAGTAACGAGGGATTAGTTGCCATGTTTCAATTAAAAGTTTAAAAGTACATGCCAACAAGATTTTAATATGTAATGGGATAACGTTTTAAAATATTAAGGGGGTGATCTGTTTACCTCTTAATAGTTTTATTAAGAAGTAATTTTTTAAAATGTTAAGAGGTGAATCTTGTTTGATAAAAAAAATTATGCTTTTTAATAGTTCTAAAACTTTCAGAATAATTTTGTATCTCGGACCTCCCTTAACCATTCAACACCATAATTTTATTGTAAACAATTACCAAATAATTATATTTCATTTTGCACTATACTATGCGATTTCTTAATCATTCCGACCACTTAATCATTTTGCATCAAATCATTCAACAACTAGTAAACAGACTCTAAGATCTAAAAATCTCTAGAAAATACATTTAATTTTTATACATTTTTTTTTATTTTGAAGATTACAACACTTATTAAAATATTTCTATACATTTAGGGATTGTTTGTTTACCTCTTAATAGTTTCATTAAGAGATAACATCTAAATCATTAAGAGGTGAATCTTGTTTAGCAAAAAAAAAAAATTGTCTTTTAATGGTTCTAAAACACTCTGAATTATTTTGTATCATGAGCCTCTCATAACCATTCAGCACTCTAATTTTGTTGTAAATAATTACCAAATAATTATATTTCATTTTGCACTATATCATGAGAGCCACTTAATCATTCTGACCACTTAATCATTCTGCACCAAACCATTCAACAACTGTCAAACAGCCCTTAGTAATATCTCATTTATCTCTTATAAACATTTAATTTCAAAGTTTTTTTTATAAGTGGAAGATGATGATAATAAAAAGAGTAAAATTCACTCTTGTTCAACAAGGTTTAGTGATTTACTTGAAAGTGGGACATGAATTTCAAAAAGTCAAAATGTCATCCTTTGGGCTTGGATTTTGCTTTAAAAATGAGACCCAGTTATTATTACCGCCAAAAATATCAGTTAGAGTTAGGGGTAAAACCGTTCAACCATTCCCCCCCCCCCCCCTTTTTTTAAATTTTTTTTTTTTTTTTTTTTTTTGTTAAAAGAATCAAACTTTAGGGAACAACTACATAAACAACTCTAATATCTCTCTGTATATGATGCATGGACCAAGAGTACATTGCGCATCTCTGGTAGCATTTTCGTTTGCATCTCCAGTCGCATCTCCGTTTGCAATTAAACCATAAGGACCAGATCGCAAAGGAATGGAAACGTGAGGTTCTGACTTTCACCCAAAAAAAAATGTAAACTTCACTTGTGGTTTATGTCCCTATGGTTTTCAATTCATATTTATTTTCGTCCATGAGGGTAAACACTAGTTTTAAGTACGAGGGACTAAAATGTAAATGAAGTGTAAACCACAGGGACGGAAAATAACAATAAAATTTAAACCATGAAAATGAAAACGATGATGAATTGTAAACCATGGGGATAAAAACGGTAATTTCAAAATCACATGAATAAAAATACAAATTTTCAACAAACCACTTGGACTAAAACGTAGTTTACTCATGATTCAAATATTCACCAGTAAGATATGTTGGTGTTAACACCTTGTAAATTTTAAACCACATAGATGAAAATTGCAATTTTTAATAAACCATTGGGATGAATACATAACTTAGGAGTCGTTTACCAAACACTTACCTGAGTAAGTGCTTACCAAGTCATGTTAACTCACCTAATGAATATGGTGAGAACCAATAATCTTACCCGGTAAGAGCGAGACAAGGACCATGAATCTTACCCGATAAGTAAGGGCGACGACTCTTACCACAGTAAACGCTTACCGGGTAAATTATTGCATACGATGTCGTTTCGGTGGACTAAAATCTTACCCGGTAAGTAAATAATAATGTTAAATTTTACCGGTAAGAACTTACTGGGTAAATGTTTGGTAAATGGCCCCTTACTCTTTGACTTCTTCTTGTAGAGAAAGATATAATACTCTTGCAAAACTTACCTAGTAGACACTTGGATGGTCGATTACATAAAGGAATTATTCAGGAGCAACAGTGAACCTCACAGCTAGGGCTGTAAACGAACCGAACGTTCAGCGAACCGTTCGTGTTCGTTCGTTTGTTCGGTTAAGTTAAACGAACGAACATGAACAAGCCTCCGTTCGTGTTCGTTCGGTTCGTTTACAGCCCTACTCACAACTTCTTCAACAAATATTCTATATTTTTTCAAAAAAATGTAAGGAAATAATCCCACTTAAACCATTGAAATATAATGTATCGAGATTTAAGCAGGTAACAAAACTCTTCGGCATGGGTCTCGAGCTTCAACGTGGGCCTTCTTCTATCTTGTTCGTCATCCCCTTCTTGCCTAGCCTAGTTT